ACCGATGACGAGTTAACTCGACATTGCACTTGCATTATCCATTTCAATTTATGAAACCCAGGGAGATATAGAATATTGCGTGTGAAAGTGATTTTGAAAATTGAATTACAAAATAATAACCGGTGAGATGACATAGTTTCTATGTAAAATTGCCGGTCAACAAAGTGTTAATTGACATATTGAATTTAAAATAACTTTTTCGAAAAATTTCTACGTTTTCTAATATTTTTTGAAATTTTTAATAATTTCAGAAAAATCGAACGTCAATCTCTAATAAATGTAACAATAAAGATATCTGCAAAATTTCATAATAATTGGTCGATTGGATCTTGGGATACCTTGCACACCGTTTGTAGAAACACAGTTTCGAGAAAAACGTGTTTAAAATTTCGAAACGTAATTTTTCATACGTATTCTTAATTCTTCATTAATCGCTCATTGCTGCCTGGTACATATAACCATCTGCTTCGACTTTAGTCTATTGGGCGGCTGATAAACTGGATCTATGAACGGATTTGACCTTTTTAGAATTTTTAAACAATCGTTTACTAGCTGTTTCGATCCTTTCTTCGTCGACATAATCAACACAATGCAACAACTATTGATCTCACGATTAAATTCATAGTGCTCATATTTTACAAGACACAAGAAAAGCCTTCATCGAAGATATTAGCAGAAATATAAGGAATAATTTTCGCGTTTGTAATGCCGCGAAATAAACCTTTTGGAATTAAATAATACTATCAAAATTTGGTTTCAATTTTTATTAGTAGCAATCAACGTGCTCACCCTCGCCAATAGATCGGTTCCTACTTGAAGGAGGCTCCAGAAACACTCTCGCAAGTCCACGACTCCCTCGACCTCTCATAAATACAAGTTCCTATGCTAAGTATTCCCCGTCTAAGGCAGTGTCTGCTACAAAGTAGAGCCATCGATCTCATAGTCTAAGTTTTCATTTGTAACCTTTTTGTATGTTTTGGTTCTTTTATCTGTATATTATTGTATCTAGTTTCTGACTAGAACTGGCGCTGTGGGATGAACCAAATGCTGATAACGCAATAAAACGTATGTTAAATTAGAAAATAAAATTGGAATTGGCCAGCTAGAAAGCCTTATTGACGAGTCCAGGACGAAACGAATCTCTTCCCTACGTCCAGCTGCTACGTGTCATAGCACAACGACCTAGGGGATACCAACCTACCGCACCGCAGGAACCACACAGTCACCATCACAACCCCGTGGAGCGGACCCCCACAGATCATTCCACCCAAAGCAGACCAAAAGTAGACATGTGTATAATGTCGATCCCTCGACTTTTCTGATATTACGATCTATAAAATCGATTCCATGCTGGCAGACTGTTACGTCAAGTCGATATATACAGTGCCTCACGAAAATATTCGGACACTTAGGTATGCCTGAATTAATCACTTAGTATCGCAGATACTTATACACGGATCGTGTTCGTTATTTATTCTGTGGATAAGAAGGTTATTTAAGTTGACAAAACCATGTGTTTTATTTAATAAATTTATATGGATTTACTATAACAAATTATAAATAAAATGATACCCTATTTTCACGTCACAAAAATATTCGGACACTTAGGTATGCCTGAATTAATCACTTAGTATCGCAGATACTTATACACGGATCGTGTTCGTTATTTATTCTGTGGATAAGAAGGTTATTTAAGTTGACAAAACCATGTGTTTTATTTAATAAATTTATATGGATTTACTATAACAAATTATAAATAAAATGATACCCTATTTTCACGTCACAAAAATATTCGGACACTTGGCATAAATAACATTATATAACCCTAATTTGTTTATATAAACACATTTTTTAATATTTTGTCGCATAGCCTCTTTGCTTCAATACGTGCCTCAATCTGTTGGGCATATTAAAAAATGATTTTTTCCAAGTAATTCGTACTGATAGCAGCCCACTCTTCCAGCAACCTTTGTTTTAGTTTCTCTTTTGAGTTAATTGCTGTCTTTCGTATTCTGTGATCTAACTTATCGATAAATTTTCAATGGGATTGAGATCCGGCGATTGTGGTGGAGGATGAAGAACTTTCGGGCAACGATAAAGCAAGAATTCTTGAACAATGCGTGCTTTATGTTTGGGGTCGTTATCCTGATAAAACTTAAAATTGTCGCGAATTCCCATTTTTTCTGCACTATTTAATAAATTATTTTTCAGTAGGTGTAAATGACAGTTTTTGTCCATGACGGTGTCAATAAAAACTAAATTGCCAATTCCTCTGATCGAAATACAGCCCTAAACCATCACGCTACCTCTGTTGTGTTTTACGGTATCTCTCGTGTTTTGATGGTGGAACTCTTCATTCGCTTCCCGCCATACAATTCTTTTTCCATCTGAATTATGGATGTTAATGGAATACAAGTTCATCCCGAAACAATTCGGAGAACTCTTAAGCAACACGGTTACAACGTATCTGCGATACGATGTGATTAATTCAGACAACCTTGGTGTCCGAATATTTTTGTGAGTCACACTGTATATACCGATGCGTTACGGCACGCAAGAGATCGCTAATCGGGTTTTAACTTCCTTAAATATTGGTTGCTCTAAAAGCTGGGACCATTCGTATATTATTTTTAAGACTTCACATTACTGTTTAACACTTTGACTGCCACGTTGGTCATATATGACCGGCCACGGTTTCTCCTATGACGCCACGGTGGTCACTGGTGACCGGTCCGCTTGAACCACTTGAACTACATTGAACTACATTGAATGAAAATTGATAGTTAGTGCATTTCGAATATAACCGCTAATTAGAAGATACTTTGAAATAAAAAGTGCCCCATCGAACAATTACAAATTTTTATTAGGACATCAAAAACATAGAACAAATCTTGCATCTAGCAGTGCACTCCCGTGGAGTCCTGAGGGAAACATGTGATTTCGGCGTGGCAGTCAAAGGGTTAAGACAAAAAAGAAAATGGATTTTTTCAAAATTTCGAACTGCCCTGCCCCCTTAACCGTTTGAGTCCCAGAGGGTTTTGAAAAAACACTATCGAAGAATCCCAAACAGCGCGACCGCGCTTTCTCTAAATGAGTACGAGAAATCCCAAGCGGCGTGATAGCGCTTCGTTTATTTTACGTCGATAAATACCGATCGGCGCGATAGGGCTTCTTGTACTTTATGCAGCACCGAAAATGGAATAAAAAGATCACATTTAATTTGTATGCAATATAAAAAAAGAATTCATCCAATATGTTTTGATAAACACCGATGTTATAAATTATAGGTGTTACTCTCCATTTAAATTGTTTGTTCATAACATAAAAATATTTTTAATTTGTAATTCGTTATTTTATGAAATACATCTGTATTATTACATATGCGTACTGTAAGTTTATAAATATTTCAAGTTTTGTTCGATAAAAATTATTCAGAAGAAAAATATTTTATTTTCTAATGTATTATTGCACTATTATTATAGTATTGTACCTATTGTAAAATATATTATTTACATTAAAAGAAGGGACTGTGTGATGTAATTGCGTCAGTAAATCTGAGCACGCGACTTCGACAGTCTGTGATGCACCGTCAGTTGTCCACAACGCTAAAAATGTGCTTGGTTTACTCGACATAAAATCTAAACAGCGCAATCGCGCTGCTTGGGATTCAAACGGTTAAAGAAAGGATACTTTATATGGGTACGTATGTTAAATTTGTCAAAAATCATTATCAAAAATCACTGAAGATCATAAATATTATTTTAACGCGTGCCGAGTACAGTTCTAACTTATCGTCTTGCGTGAAAGAAATTTTTCGGAATTCTTGGAGTTTTTGAATCGGTTGAGGTTGCGTAAGATCTTAAGGTAAGTTGATCATTCGATAATAAAAGAAAAGAAACACGTTAACGCGATCAACATCATCGACTTATTTTCTTCGACGTATCATACAAACGTTATCATAATTGAAACATTAAATCTATGAAAATGATCGAAAATAATAATTATAAAGACAATTCGTATAACTGCTCAAGACCCTTCGAAGAAGAATAAAATGGACGATGATCTCAATCGTGATACCGCGCGATCACCCTTTTTTATCAAACAATTATCATTTATTGACTGTTTTAACGAGATACAGGTGTACGTGTCACCTTTTCCTCTCTATTTTCCTTCGACAATAATTGTCCATTCTACTCAGGTGTAGTCGGCTGAAAACAACAATGCTGTAGAGGAGTAGAGACTACTGCTAATTTCTGTAAGCGGTCCGTGCAGGAATAAAAGTGCAACCTAAAATTCGATTTGAATATTTGCATCGTACAAATTTATAGTGATAAATAAATTTCAAAGGTAAAAAAAGAGAGAATAGATCGAAAGAATAAATCAGCTCCAATTGCAAATTTAATCTAATCTTCTATTAATTGCGCTTGAACCGATTTTCGTGTAAAAAAAAAGGTTTAAACACTGTCACCCGTCCATCAAATTCGCATACAATAATCTACGATTAAAAGACAAAATCTAGAAACAATATTACACACACAAAATATATGAGGAAATCGTCATGGTGAAATGGAGAGATCGGTAATATGTACTATCGTTTTAAAGGTAGCACTTAATTTCCGGTGCTTCGAGCCGCTATATAAAGATATTAGAATGACAAAGAGCCACCGTGTTACCGGTTCTTCGAGCAAAGCGATCCCCACGAGCGAATCGTGCATCCGCTGTCACCAAGTGGAAAGACATTATTAGCGTAAAAAGGAACAGGATAATGAAGGGTTCTTGCGCAACGTAAGATACAGATGTATCGATATACACACAGAGCCAGCTAAGCATTCTACGAACGATCGAACTGTCGAACGAGAAAAAATACGTTAGCTTTTGTACCATTGCAAGGAACATTTGAAAAGTACGATTCAACTGAGCATAACCGTACTCGAATATAATAGTAGCTTGTACAAAGTCAACTTAAAAGATTAATAAATATTCGAAGTAATAAATAATTTACAATATCGCTAAAGATAAAAATTAAAAATAACTAACGAGGAAATTATTTTATTCGTAAGATAATTCGGAACAATTCTCTCGTTCCAACGTTTCGAACGATCGGGTCAGTTAACACGATTTACCCACGACTCATTATCGATTACGATTGATATTGTTTCTCGGTCCAGCCACGCGTCCACGAAGCCAAGGTCGTGACACTTCCCAATATATTTTACTTCTAACTTGCCAATCTTGCACGGACTAAACGTTACTCTCGCTTTCGAGCGTCCATTTTGAAAAGATATAACACGCATTTAATACGCGTAGTATTAAACGATACTGGAACGCGGTACCGTAGAAATACCGAAAGGCGTTTAGAAACTATAAGCGAAATGTATAGTTGGGAATACAAGTACCTCGACTTTAGGACGGTAGGTCCAAACAATCGCCTGCCTTCAGGCAAGGGACCGATAAGGTCCAACAGCGGTCAGAGCTGTGATTGGTTGAAACAATATGTGGCTGTCGCCCGCCATTCTGGGAGAAAATTTATCAACGTACAGTTGCTCTGTTTGCTTGCCAACAGAAATAAGAAAACGAAAAATGTAAAATAAAATACAAAGTACATTCGTTGAGTTTCCTACACGTTTCCTATACGTGTGAGTGTTACAAGCTGTATAACATACGCATGTATTATAATGTACATTACTGTTCGTTTCAACCGATAAGATTGTTCAAAGAAAATAGTTTCCCAGAACGACAGACTATGCCCAATCTTTCGAACTTTCCACAGAACGTCTTTATTCGGAACAACTTGATAATGTGACACTCAATAAATAACAAAACTTCTACATGTCCAATTCTGTCATCAGATTGTCCTGCCGAATCTCAGAACGAAAGGAAAGCGCGGTCGAGAAACAATGTCTGGCCGTACTTTAACAGCCTTAAGAGACGGGAAGCGCCTCTTTCGGCTGAATTCCGCACTGAATTCTATCGGCCTGAAAGTAGACGCTTGCACGAATCACCTCTGTTTCCGATAAAACGACAGCAGCGGAAAGACACGATTCGGAAAGACAACCCCAGGAAATGAAGTATATTCATAACGATGCGTAGTTCTTTTAGGTACGTACACGTGTTGTACGGCGCGGTATGCTGTTTCATAATTTTTCTCGAAGTAATGATAGAAGTCGAGAGAAAGAATAGACAAACAGGGTGCCTACTGAGGTGAACCTTCAGGAAGTGAAAGAAGATTTACACAAATTCGTATTTTCACAGACAAACAGCTGAATTACACAGCTTTGTACAATTCATAATCTCTATTATCATCAACATACAGTAAGCGGAAAATATCTCTCATGGCTTTAGTTTGCAGCCTCCTCTTGCACCGTCTTCGCCACACTTTCGCAATACGTTTACGTGCCAACTTCCGTTAGTCTGAAACCATGAAACGTATGAAAAGTTCAAGGTTTGGCGATTATAGTATCCGTAAATAAAGATCCGATCACCGCCAACCTACGAAACACTGACTCCATAAATCATATTTTTTGGTTCTTTTCTTGCCTCATAATTTATCGCAGGTTATGTTTGTGAACATCGCGATGTATTAACTTAAATATTTAGACGATGGTTTTGCAGAGATTTCGTTTTGCTATCAATAGACACCCTGAAGAAATAATGAAATGATAAAAGAAAATAAATGGAGGAATAATAATGGAAGAGATAAATAGAGGAAATAGGAATTTTCCAATGAATTAAGTAAAGTATCATCCGATCGTAGAGTTTGGTATTTATAACAAAACTCAACACAATTCCTAATATACCTGAATGACAAATCATTTATATCTAAATAAAATTATGAAAACAACCATATACTCCACGATCGGAACATCGATAATTTGGCATAGGATAAAGTAAAGAAAACGGCGTGAGTCGAGTGTAGAGAGAGCTGATATCGGTTTTCCTGAGCACCCTCCGTACTTACCACTCACTCATGCGTCGCCAACACGTTCCTTGCAAAGGAAGAGGGCTTCACAGATCGAATCGATCACTTCTGCTTTGTGACCAACAAATTACAATCATTTTAATAACTTATCGTAATTGCAATTGTGGAAATCTTAACATATCTAATAATTCGTTAACCGTTCTACGAGTGACACCAAAAAGCCACACAAGCAAATATTTCTTTTCTTTTCTTTCCTTTTATAATTGTCACTTTCTGCTATTTCACTTTTTCCCAATAATGCAATGACTCGCAACGTGTCTAACAAATTTTAAATAATATTCTAAAATTATCAGATTCTATTTTACGCGTTGAAACCGATTACGAGTTTCTTCTATAATATCGTGTGATCTCTTGTATATTAATCGTACTACCAGCAATTTAAAATGTATTATTTTACCACATCTTATCTTTTGTTCATCAGCATATGTAAGCAATGAGATATTAAGATCAATTATTTTTGCAAGCAATGGAATAAATTTAAATTTAGAATGAGCTCTAACGTTAGATGAAATTTTTCTAATTTCTGTGACATTTCTAGCAGATAATAGATAAAAGGAGCTCATCGAGTACAGAAAGTGACCTAACAAATATAAATAACAACTTTATCTAAAAAATGCAAGTTCATTTCAGATATTTACATACAGAAATATAATTATGACAAAATTCTTTGTTAATTTTTTAAGTATTTGCTTCTATCGCTTTTTTTAATTCTTTTGAGAGAAATATTGAAATCTATCATTTGCCAAAATCATCCTATATAAATATATATAAGTATATAAAATAGTGCACCTAATATTAGAACCTTGGACTTCGTTATTTCTACTAATACGAAAAATGTATTAAGAAGATTAATTACTTCATTGAAAAGGATAAATATTGCAATAATAAAATTTTACTCCAAAATATTTCTTAAGATTTCGAATTCGTGAATTTCTATTGCAGTAAAATCTTCACTAGCACAAATTTATAACCGAAGCAAACAAGTTCAATCGCGGCACACAGATGTGCTGCTGTTACAAAGATGTAATTTAATATACAGGGTGATTTTCTCGTTAGAATATTCAAAAATGGTGTCGTTAGGGTAATATCGCAATGGGAATGTCAGGTTTGTCTGATTTGTCAACTGACCCTTACTATAACTTAACCCTTTGCACTCGAGAGGCGTATCGAAATCGAATAATTCTACGTATTAATTATTATACGATTTCTCATTTACTACTGAAAAAAATATCGTCAGCCTTATAGCAGAAAATCTTTGAACTCCTATTCTTCTTTAGGAAGAAAAATTCTTCTCAGAAAATCATCGAGTGCAAAGGGTTAATAGACTAATATCGCTCTTTCACTATAGCGAAGATGATCATTCTCGTTTCTTCGAGATCCTTATTTGGAATTTTAATTTCTAAGTAATACATTTGTATACGCGCATCTCCACTACAATAGTAAAGCACTATTGGCATGATGGGTTACGGTGAAGCTCATAATATGAGGTTCCCATGGTAATATTTTCCTAGTGACACCATTCTATATTCTAGTATCACCCTATACATAAACAACGATCGAGTAGTCTGATGAATTAATAAATATCAAAATTTAATATATATTTTGATCGTAGTTAACACTTTCATGGTAGCTGATGCAAAATTATATATCTCCTTGACTTATCACTGATTGTCGTTAATACAAAATTATGTATTTTTCTAAGCTTTAATTCATATGGATTACCTCATGCATAAATTTCATAGAAACTTTACCAACGTGTTCTACGAGTTAAAGTATATTGAAAATTTTATTTAAACATTCGACTATAAATGCTTTATTAAGTCGAATAAGACTATGAAATTCAGGAAATAACGATACTCGGATTTATTCGAGTTATAAAACATGCTAGGGACATATAAATAACGTTATGTGTGATATAAGTCAAAATTTAGCAAATGGATATTTCACGATAAATATCGTAACATTACGATCCTGGGATAAAAGGATCTTCCAAGAAGTCAAAAAAATGACTTTTTTTTGAAAGAAAAGAGTTAGAAAATCACTCATAAACTGAAAACACGGGTATAAAAAAGAGATAAACGAACTTTGGTAATTGCAAATGAAAAGTAGTTTCTTACAGATTATAGATCTATAAGAATTCTATAAAAATCCAAATCTAACAGAAAAAATCGGACATCACATTGGATGTAAGAAATATTTGGAGATAAAAACAAAAAAAATACAATTTTCGCCATATTTGCAGAACGATATCAAGAAAAGTCTTCAAAATCAAATTTGATTTGCAATCATACGATTTTTTGATTGCTAAGTTTTGAAATTAGTCTATTTTTGACATCTGCGAGTAAAAGCATATAGTTTTCATCGTCAGTAGATTAAAATGGAATAATTTTAACAAAAATTAATCTTCTGATATGTCTCTGCAAATATGGCGAAAATCGAGTTTTTCAGATTTTATTCTGGAATATCTTCCACGTTTGATGTGACAACCGACTTTTCCTACCAAATTCGAATTTAGTACTCAAAAATCTATGAGAAATTAATTTTCATTCACAAAAATCAAAGCACGTTTATCTGATTTTTATACCCGTGCCTTCATTTTGAAAAGTATTTTAAGTGTTTCCTTTGCTAAACACGAAAAAGATGCATATTACGATATCATTCGTTAAAATTGAAAAATTGTTTATACGTTGCCTCAAAAATAGAAAACATGTCCTATCTTTTTGGATTGGAGTGTAGATAACCAAAAATCAACAGATTAGTACTCTAACTTTTGTGGTACACATATGAGATATAGATAACTTTTCTCAAATTTTAAAAAGTATGTAATTATAAACATAACATTTTAAATGTTTGCAATGTTTGCCCTTTTCCTAATGTCAAAACTTTGCAGCAATCAATTTTACTTTTTTTCAATATTATGGACAAATTGAATTTGCATGAAGAAAAGAATATAAACTGTGAAAGTGTTAACTAACTAAACAAAACAGTTTTCCATACTTGGCAGTATACAAGTGTTTGCTTCTTTTTTGAATAATTTTATAAATAATTTGTAAATGAAAAATATGGAAGTATATTTTATGTCTATTAACTTACTGAAGTAAGTTATATTGTCATCGTCTCAATACACATATAATTTATGTTTAGAAGTGTAAACCTTTTCATTATCATTTGGATATAAATGATTTTATTCTCTATCCACTCAATTTTACTCTTCAATTATTATACTATTTCATTTAATCTTTTTCTTTTAATATTTTTGCACACCACCAAAGACAATAAAATTACTTCAAGTCCTAATATTAGGTGACTCACTCTGTGTACTAGACATTTTACTTGACTTGCAAAATATTTTCACTATATTAACAACACAAGTAACAATTTCAAGAATTCAGATTTCTGATCAGCATATATGAATAACTAAACAATCTCTGCTTACAATCAAGTTTTCAAAATTTCAAAATTATTCATCTTTGAATCACATGATTCTAGCAATATATTCTATAATCAGTAATATTTAAAATATTGTTTTTAATACAATAAATATATGATTTTTTAAATTATTTTTCCAAATATTACAGTAAGAATGAAATTCCCTAATTATTTTTTTGTATTTTCAGTGGCAAAGATATGGAGATAAAAAGATGCGATTATATTACTGAGAGATATTAACAGTACTGAAATTTTGAGAAGAAGGATCTTAAAAAGAAAATTATAATTTTATCTGTTGACATAAACTATTTTAAACTATTTTTTATACTGTTAATAAAATTTGCAAACTAAATATAGGTGTTTACATACATATACTGTGCCATACGTTGCAGAAATCTGAATATCTTTCCTGTTATACAGTAAAATATCTCTTACAAATTCACTATAAGTGAACACGACACGTAAGTGGTAATTTAAAACACCACGAAAGATAGTACACAAAGAGAAATGTGAACTGTGGCCCAAAAGTATATCGACTCGATCTGGAACGTTAACAAAATAAAAGTTGTGACAAACTAACCTGAGGCGACAGAATGTTCACACTGCGGCTTGTTTTTCTTAATACTCCTCAAGCAAGGGAATCAAATGAGACGACTGACATGTTACAAAGCATATAGAAATCAAGACCTTCACACGGTTAATATATACACCTAATAAAATGGATAAAACATTTTGGTTAAAAAAAGGAAAATAAATTTAAATACTTAATTCAAGCAAATTTTCTGCCAGCTGCAGTGTGAAACGCCACCTTTCCGCGATCGCGTCTCTCCAAGAGAACACTGGTGCAGAGGCTGAGAAACAGCGCGTGGAAACGGTCTACCGTAAAATAAAAGAACAACCGATGATTGTATAGAAATTCGTTCTACTTAAAATCAGCTGAAAGATCCGATACCTTCTTCCAGATCTGACTTCATAATTCGTATTACGATGAGCAACGTAAAATTGCTTACTTGTGACTTTACAACAATAAAATTTCTTTATCAAGAGCGCACGATTTTTCTACGCGGAAAAGCTTTCGTGCTCGTACAGCCATTAACAACATGATATCACCATCCCTTTTAATAACTACAATTTTAATACCAGGTACTCAGATGTAACAACAAATATTTATAGAAAACATAATCCGAAGGTTCAAACAACCGTTGGTAGATTCTAGGCAAACAACAAAATTGATTTCACAACAAAAAACAGATTTCGTTGCTCACCTGGGATTTCAAACTCCTTCGGAAATTAGTTATGCTGTTGCGCTGATATCACGCGACCACGTACCACGTGTGAAAGCGAATAGAATTGTTCATTCGATATCTTTACTGGCATAAAAATCGAAGAGGAACGACCGACCGTTTCCACTGCACCTGGTAAACCCTCTCAGGCACTGACGTGATGTGTTTTGCAATGATATTATAAAAAAAAAACAAAGATTTTGCTAACTTCGTGTGAACTTCGTAGGAGAGGATGCGTCAAGTGCAGCCGCGGCCGATCAACGAAGTGTGCCCACGCGAGCTAACATGTTTTACGCGTGCTTTCCTCCTCTTCTCAGTCAGGTCCGGACCCTAATAAAATTTAGGGGCGGGCCCAGAGCACGAAGTGCAGTGGCGGAGTGGGCCCGTCCATAGGAGGTGATCATCTGAAGCGTGGATGCATCATTGGAGCCAACATTGGTGCACCAGGAAAACCCATTGGAGTTGCGAATGCCGGATGCATTGCCCCTGGTGGCAACGCTCCTATCATCCCTGCAAAGGATAATATACTGTAAATTTAACATACTCCCAATAATCTTTCTTTCCCAGTTCTTTTTTATATCTCTTATATTGCATGTTTTGAACAATCTGTAAATAATCTTCTTATGTACTTACGTCGCGAGAATACTCGTCAAACATAAAGAAAAAAAAAAAAAAAAAAAAAAAAAAAAAAAAAAAAAAAAAAAAAAACCAAATTACATGTGTGTTTTGAATGCGCACATATTTCTCCTCTTTGTACTCCGTCTTCTTCCTCACGTTTAACAAAAATTTCGTAGTTTTCTTTTTGGAGACCGCGCATCGTTCAGTAGAAAAAGTATTCGTCGCAAAATAGTTGCGGAGTTTTGAAAGAAACGTTGAAATTTTTTAAATTTACTAAAATAGAAACGAATAATTTAGTAAACCTTTTTCTTTAAGTTTTTAAAACTTTTAAGTTTTTCGCGGGGAATCGAATACGAATTAAATATTTCGTTTCTTCCAATACATCCCGAACTAATTTAGAGAATTCTCAGTCATCTGAACGGGAAGTTGTCTGACAGCCGATCGATGGCATTTCCTCACATAAAATTTACAAAAACGATATTCTTTCCGTAATAAATCAAAAAAAATAAAATAATAGTCTCTTACCGTTATTTACCAATTATTACTATTTTAAATAGAAAGGTTTCCAAATTGTTAGAAGAATATCTAAAATAGATCAAAAGGTGAAATAAAAAGGAAGAAAAATCATATTGAAAAACGAAATGCTACTGATCTTCGATTATCAACTGAGCACATTTTATATTTACTTCGACGGTGCTCTCTTTTGAAAAATGATGAAAAGTTTCAAGTTTTCTAGGACTACATCATACACCCATAAGGGTTTATTATTGGCAGCCCACCTACGTCTATCTAGCATTTTATCAATGCGAATGGTCAAACTATATGAGGAATTGAGCTCAACATGCAATGTGCCGCATATGCAATACAAGTCACAACAAACTCACAAAGGTGATACCACGCAAAACCTCACACCATACATAGGAAACTCATTTGACTATTTCTTTTTATAACTCGAGCGAATCGCTCGGCTGCCAGCCGATCTTCCAAGTCACTGCTCCAAAAGAGCTTCCACGAATAAAAATGGAGTAATGAAATAAACGTTAAATTTCTCTCTTCTATTCTAATTTTTGATATGCTTTTTACTAGTTTCAAAGGATTTCAATAATGTGAAAGCATCGAATTAATTTATTTGTTATTTTTATATTATTCAAATCCAAACCCCCATCCGAGGAATATTACTTATTTTCCTTGAAATATGGTTCTACTTAACATTTACTACTAAGACACGGTATAATTCAGAAAGAATGTTAATCAAAAGTGATTCCCTTATTTACCAATGTTAAATTAGACATCTCTATCATAAAAATGTAAGAAACAGCTGCAATGAAGTGTTTGTACGAGTTATAGTTTTATATATATATTGGGTAACGTGAAATTATTTACTTACTGTGATTTGACTTCAAATATCTAAAATCGTTTGTGTGACACAAAAGCTAGGCTATGGTGTGAGGGAGATACATTACGTTCGTTCTTGTTGCAAGTCTCTTTTTATCGTGATACACGCGACAATAATAAAAACAGTAACATTAACAAATGTTCTCTTCCCTCTTTTTTCTTTAAACTTATTTTTTTTTCTTCTAAATTCATATTTTCATATATTACAAAGTTTTTTTTTTTTTTTAGAGAAAGTGACACTAAAACAGGTTGATTAACACTAATAATATTATAAATAATTTAAAACTATCATCTATTCTAAATATTGTTTTTATTGAATGTAAAATTTTTTTAAATTTAATATCCTTAAAGAAATACAAAGAAGGAAGGAACCGTCATTGAAACTATGCATTGATTCTTTTCTATTCTTTTTTTTCTTTTTTTTTTTTTTCTTTTTTTTTTTTGTTATTTAGAATGACAACTTCGAACGACTGTCAGTACCGTGCCCAAAAAGCGGTTTCTTCACTACTATATCACAACACCAGGATTTCAAGCTATATAAGTAATATGAAGAGGTAGGATGGTAACACGGTTGGCGAGGTAATGGCAAGTGAGTCATAAGAAGAATATGGTTAAATCGAGATAGTGAATAAAGAAGCTAATGGAACGAAAAAGAAAAAATCATATGTACGATGAACCAGCCGAGCGGCCGAAAATCGAATCAATTTCATTGTATTATTTTTATCAATTGAGAAAAAATATATCTATGAAAATATATATATATATAGTGTATATATGTATATATACCGCGATTATAAAAATATAAATCTAGCGTAATCGTGCTTCTGATACCGAGTACTCTAGTTTCAAGAAGAGGCATTTCACGTCCAAAGAGTCGTGATGTGTCCAAAATCAAAGTGTGGTTGTCCGGCGTTGAAGGAATCAGAACAGATGCAATATCGTTGGCCGCTCGACCCACCTGCCCAGTGACAATAATATAAATATACAGAAATATATATAGGTGTATTAATATGACAATGATGACAATAATAATAACAATAATAATATTAATTAATAAGAATAATAATAAATATAACGATGTATATATAGATATATATAGAGAGAAATTTTATATATATATATACGTATATACACACAAACACACACACACATATATATATATATATATATATGCATATGTGTGTGTGTTGTGTATATATATATATGTGTGTGTTTGTATATATATAAATATATATAGATAGATATGCCATGTCACCGCATGCTAATTGCTAAGGACCAACCTTGTTGCGCTTGTATAAAACACGGTTTTAGTAACCAGACTGGGATCGTTCAACACTCACCAAGGAGTGACTGGGCGCCCTGCAAACGCACCGTTAAAACATAAACGTACAAGACACGCTGTCGTCGATTCTGGCATACGGATGAATCCTGAGCATGCTAGTATCTGAATAGTCGTATTACATTTTTTCTGTTTTTTTTTCCCCCCCCTTTAAATGTCCTTGTGTTTAAAATATCTCCCGTGTACCTGGTCAAAATTAATCCCCCCCAAATCTAATTTTTGTCTTCTGTCACTCTCATTCATCCATAACACATTCCTAGCCATCGGGCAAGTCTAATTTGTTGTTGGAGGCAGAGGGTAGGGGCTGCATAGTGATGGATGAAGTGCAAAGGTATATTATACTGCATGTCAGATGGAAAACATTTTTGTCTTAATGATTGATCTATATTTCTATTAAATGGATCATATAAACCTCAAGCTTTTGGGTAAACCTATTGTCCGAAGTTATCTCTCTAATTGAAAAACATTTAGAATTTCTTACTTTAGAATCAACATGATCATTATAATATAAACGAAGGTTTACTTATTCTTACAGCTGATTAATAAAATATATTGCATATCAAGAAAATATACTGTATATATTCAATGAAATGTACAATATATTACCTATTATTCTTGATAGATTGAACCTATTGTATCTATACATATTTGTATGTCAATATATTTTTCTTCGGTTCAAGTACTTGAAACATGATTTTTCACTGTCTTTGAAACAAGTAATAAATGTTGAACTATCGAAGAAATATTAATTTTTTTTAAACATATTACGAAAATTTCCATAATGATATTAAAAAAAAATAATTTCTTATCTAACAAAATACAATAAAATTGCACCAAATATTTCAGTAATATATCTTCAATAGCTCTAAATAAGATACTGAAAAGGATACATATAAAAACAATTTGATTCAAATTTAATAATATTTACGCAGATTAATGCATATTGATGAGGTGCTCTCGTCGAAACAGAGATGAGTATTTAAAATTAGAGAGACTTACCTGGTGGTAGGCCCATGGGGGGCGGTCGCATCATGTTACCTCCATGAATCAGAGCAGGTGCGGCTAGAGTCATAGTGGGTCGCATAAGCGGTGCCATCAGTGCAACAGAACTAACAGGCATTGCTGCAGATGCAGGAACCATTACTGCTTGTGGAGGTCTCTGAAATCTTTGTTGTTGTTGTTGAAGTGCATTTAATGCCGCTTGTTGTCGCTGCTGTTGATCCTGAAATGCAGCAGCTGCATTAGCAGCAGCAGCTTGTTGTTGCTGCTGTTGCTGTTGTTGTTGTTGCTGCTGCAATGCAACAGCTTGTTGATTGGCATCAGCAGCTTGTACAGTTCGAGCTTCTTCACTTTGCCGCCGTTGATACTTTGGAAGTCTTGCTCTAATTTCCTCCTGAAGCATTTAATTTTTATATATATATATATCTTCTATATCTATTAATAGTATATAAATAAAAGATAATTGACTTACTAAACTAAGGTCTTCTGGAGGATGAATGATTTTAATGGCAGCACTAGTAGTGGCTATAAGATTTACTTTCTGATCATTTCCAATATTATTATTAGTGCTAGTATTGCTATCTGCATTACTATATGCAGGGAATGTTGGCTTAACCGGTCCTATAGATCCACCAGCCACTGATGTAATTGGCTTAAAATCTGTGCCCAAAGGAGAAGTCACGGCTGTAGATGCAGCAGTTGAAACAGCTGCAGCACTTGGAAATAATGGTCGCGTTGGTGGTATGGATGCACCTGACACTGGTGGTTGTATACCTGGTGGCATACCTGGCATTCCAGGCATCATACTATAAAAAAAGAAAAATTGATTACTTTGTTCTGCTATTTCTATACTTTTGTTATGATATTTATAAATTTAAAAACTTTAGATTGTATTTACCTAACTTGCATTAAATTAATATCAGATATTTAACTCTTCTTTTGCGTTGTCTGGTTTTAAAAGAATAAATTATACATACCCAGGACCCATGAAAGGTGGACCTACAGGACCCATAGGTCCCATCATATGATGCATGGGTGGTGGGAACTGTCCCATTGGTGGCATACCAGGATGAGCTGCCATACCTGGCATTACGCCTGGCATCATATTGGAACCTGTAGGCATTGCTCCTGGTGCAGAACCTAATAAACCTTCTGGTTTTGCTTTCTTTCGAACTGGTTCATCTTCACCAGAACTTGGTGAACCAGGTCTACCTCCATTTCTTTGCCTTTCATGTTCTTTTGCATCATTTGGTGGTATACCTTCCATACCATAAATTTCTATTTCAATATTACTCCGATTTGGCAAAGAATTAGGTACCTTATCTATAGCTTCTTTGTGTACCTGAAAAGTTAGTATGATGGCAATTTTATAATACCTATACATTTTCAAACTTGAATATCACTAGGTGAAGATTGATTGATAATACCTGCATACAATGTATACTAAGTCCTGGTCCCGTATAAAGCTTCTTATGGCAAATGTGACATTTAAAGTGTTTTGCTTTTTGATGTTGTATAAGAATTTTTTCATCTTCAAATTCTCGATTACAATACCTTAACAAATTAGTCAAGGAAACATATATGATGTACAAGAATAAAAATGCACATAACATATCCTTAAAAAAATCTAACAGATAATTTAAATATATACAAAAATTATATTTGGTATATGATTTTATACCTTTAATTATTCCAACCCATCTATAAAATGAATTGAAATATAAAGATTTATAATAAAAGAGAAAATAGTCATATATTTTTGTCAAATCTATAAACACATGCACATATTTCATTTTGAGCATTCAACGAAAAAGAAACTGATAACAGTTGCATATAAGTAATTATAATGATAGAGATAATAATTATAAAATAACAAGTTCAATCCACAATAGATTTTATTAGTATACATAAAATTCTTTCGATTCATATTCACCTCACATGTTTTTGAATTGGTAAAAATCTTTGAAAAAATTTGAAAAAATGCAGGTAATATCTCCAAATATTCCAAAATGAGATACATTTGTAAACATTATGCAATAACATGTTTAAATACATTCTTTTTGCAAAAATACAAAATGGAAACTGAAAGGCACGTAAACTTTTCAAAGATATTAAGGTCAATATAACCTCTGTTTATAGAGTAAAGGTTGCTTTAATATTTCAACAAAAATTAAATAACAAATATTAGTTAATTATAACATATTCAACAATATCTTAAAAAGATATATTTTTTCAATATTTAGCTTTTAAATTCGTTTCTATTAATTACAAAATATATTCTATATACTTTGATCATTTGAAATACCTCTATTACTTATATACTATAGCTATAATAATTGTTTGTAATAATCTTTTTACTGGCAGAAAGATTTTATAATAATCTTTTTACTGGCAGAAAGATTTTTTGACATTTTAAAGTTATCTCATGGCTTACTACTCTTAGAAGTAGATGTTTAGATCATTTCAATAACCTATAACCAACAAATATTTAACATAAAGTAAAAACAAGAAGTAACATTTATTCATATTAATAGAATATTTTAAATTATCATATTATACTCTAACAATTTTTTACTTCATAACTTTATATCTGTATATTGTATCATGTCATATATTTAATAGGTCTTTTAAAGCATTAGATTTTATTCTTAGGAAAACACTAAAAAATATTATGTACCAAAAAAAAAACAACACTAGATGTGAAAGAAAGAATCACTGCTATATATACTATAATTAATCTAAAGATAATAAGAAATATATAGACTATAATAATTTAATAGTTATAAAATTATATAAATGCAAATATATATTATTCTAACCACCTTCTATAATATAAGATACATTGATATATTACTTTACTTCATATTAAAGATTGTTCCAAGATATCAAAGTATTGAATTACAAATCAAAATTGTCCAAATATCCACAATTCTATTTAACATAAAGGTATATCATTTAAGAAAAAAGATAAAGGCCATCTTGAAATTTTTATAAATCTTCCACCAATGAAAAAATTATTTCTCACATATTATGGCCTTTCCTGTAACATATATCTTATAGAGATAAGACATTTTCATAGTTCTAAAAATAACTTATTGTTATTAGACTATTCTATACAAGATTATATTAAATAGAAAATTTATCAAAACATATTATAAAATATATATAAATCTTAATTTTCAAATAATTTTTCTTATAAATGAACATAATATTTCACTCTTTAACCTGTTATCATTATTAATAGTATCATTATATTAAAGGATGAATAAATATAAATATAAATGACACTTTATAACAATTTAAAAAATTGTATTTTAGTGAAATCTTAAAGTTTTATATTTTAATAAATAATATAGAGGCCTATCCGAAATAAACTTTAATAGCATTTGTCAAAATTTGTTTCGACAAATACTTTAATAACATAGGAGTGTAAATCTATCGTAGTTAGCAAATAAATACCTTTACGATAATGAAAGAAATGTAGTCGAATATAGTTGCTAACGAAATATCGATTTTTCACGCATTCAGCCACTTTAACTCGTCACACGCTTTTACTTAGTGTGTTAAAAATGTTGTACGATATAGTAAGAACTTTCGAATCAAACTATACTAACACAAGGTAATACGAAAATTAATACAATCTTAATTCCTCTAATGTTATAATTACAAAAGCAATATAATCGTAATTTTGATTTATGATCTAAAAATACAGTTACGTAAAGTATCCCATAATAAAGGGTATTTTGAAAAAGGATACCAACACCAGGGTCTCGACTGCTTCTTCTTTTTACGTCCCATATTTTCTTTTTAACTTCTGGCAATTTAAAATTAATATAAATATGCCACTAAATGTTTTACGCCCACGTAACAAGAATTTAAGTCGTAAAGTAACTGCCCCGCACACACACGTAAAAATCGACGATGTAAAATGGCGACTGCATCTTTTCCGTATTTGACGGAAGGAACTGTAACCAATAGTATTACCCAAAAATTACTAGCTTGTTGAACTAAATTTTCCCTATCAACTTTCTAATTTCAATGAGAAACATTACTAATTGTTTATATTCTATTGGAATAATATTTACTATTAAATTCAAATGAACAAATCATTTCTAATAAATAAAACTTATGTAATTTTAAATTATTTTACTCTTATGTTATAATCTGAAAAAATTCTATATTTATGTATAGAAATAAATTTTTTCCAAATTTAGCATATTGGTACATTATTCAATAAAAAACTTTAAACATTTATTTTCAATATATACTTAATTTGTTAAAACGTTTACATAAACAAAAATTCATATACCATTTTATAACAATTGTTTTATATTTTAATTTCTTATGTAATTTGTAATATTTGTGTATCTTGTTTATTGTACCAAATACGTTATATATATAAAATTATATACAAATATTCACGGAGATATAAATTCATGTTTCATACATATTTTCAATATGAAGACAATATAAATGCAGACAATATATATTTATAATAATTAATTTAATGCTGTAAACAAAAAGTATTACTAGTAGGGTAAATTAAATAAACGAAAATACGTATATATATTAATATAAAAAATACTAATATAGAGATTATCATCTACAATCACATTTTATGTTTGCATAGAAGTTAAAAATAAAATTTGCATGATAATTTTACAATGACAATCATTTTGACGTAGTGTTAACATTTAAGAAGTATAAACATAGAAATATTTTGTAAACAATAAAAAGACCTCCGTTAGCTGCAAATCCTTTGTTTTAATGGAAGATCACTCTCAGAATCACTGGATTCAATAATAGCACCAGGTTCATCATCTGAAGAAGAATAATCTTTTTGTTTTACTTCTACTTTCTGTGTTCTTTTAGGCTATAAAATAATAAATTTTGTTAATTGAATTAGTAAATTTGTTCAACATACATAAAATAAAGAAACAAATTTAAGTCATAATACCTTTGGCCAATTTTTAGCTGGCCTTTTAGGGGTATTAGTTTTTGGGACGTATTTATCAGCAACTCCTTCGACACGCCTAATATCAAAATCTTGATCTACTTTAGTTACAGTTTGTAGTCTTTGTTCCTCTGATGTTACATATAGATCATCTGGTTGATGATAGCTGTTATGTACTTCATATGCTTTTTTACTGCAAAATAAAGCAGCACATACTGTACATTTTATTAAATCTTCTGGTACAGCTTCTCTTTCTTCCTGTTAATTACAAAGATAAAATATAAAACCTTTGTAACACAAATATGTATATATAGTATTTATTTTTTATTTATTTATTTATTATTTTACTTGAGTATGAGCTCTTTCCAAATGTCGTTGCAAATTGAATTTTATGACATACTCAGCACCACATAAATGACAATAATATACACTGAGGGCATCATTCATTGAATTCACTTTGATTTTATTACTAGGCGGTGGTGTTGCTATTGGTTGAAACAAATGTACCATTCTAAAAGTTAAATTATTATATAGAATTAAAATGTATTTAATAATTTAATACTATTAAAATAATTTACAACCTTTTATGTATAGATCGATAATGATAATCTAAAGCCTTTTCATTATAAAATAATACATCACAGTCTTCGCACTTTTTATGTTGTTCTTTTCTCTCACTTTCAGATGAATCATGCGATACTTGATGATTATCCCTGTGTGTCTAATGAAAAAATAATAATATATAAAATTAAAGGAAATAATACATAATATGTATTATTTATATTATAAATGAACAATGTACTTTTAAAGGAAATTGCATCCCACAATAGTGACAATAAAATTTTGTTGGTGAATTAGGATGAACTTTAAATCTGTGTCGTATTGTTGCAGTAATTGAATCAAAAGCTTGTCCACACATATCACATTGGGTATCATCATTTTTGCTTGTTTTCACAGGTCTACCACGAGTATCTATTTCTTTGTTGGCATGCTTCCTATACACACAGTATTTAACTTTTTACATATAATTAAACTTTCTATTTCTAAAACACAGTTTCAGTAACAAATTCAATAAAATTTGTTTGAACTTATTTTTCTTATTTTCTTTCTCTAGAAATGGGTTGCTAAGAACTCCATGAAAAAAAGAAAATTTAACAGATTATATTCAAATTACATGGTAAAACCTAAAAATATAATTTCAATTTTTCTTCTCTCTATATATATAAATTTAACTGGTTAAAAACTTATCATTAAATGAAACTTCTATTTATATAAGCATAAAATTTCAATTGTTAATTAGAAATGTAAATAGTTAAAATATATTTAAGCAAAACATATAATCTACATATTAATATATGGAGTTAATATAACAAAAATTAAATGATGTCATATTTTGTTTGTTATACAGATCTCTACATCTAATAACATTATTTTCATTAATTTCATAACTTCAAGTTAACTTTTTTATTTTATAATACAATCAATTATACTAAAATACATTTCATATATAACATTTTCTTAATTCTAAAGTACAAGATAATATTTGAATGAAATAAATACTTATAAATTATCTCTGACCAAAAATACTAAATTTTATAAATTAAAATGCAAAATTTATAATAAAATAAATTATATTAAAGATAATAAAATTTGAAATATTATTAAAATGAAGTTTTTCTAAATCTAAATTTTATCTTAATTTAATTTACTATTTGAAAAAAATTTTAATCATAATTCTATTGTTATTAACTTATTGAATTATTTAGTAATCATATTTTAAGTATTTTGTATGTAATTGATCAGCAAAATTAAATATATTTTTAAGTATAATACTATATTGCTGATATAATATTAATTATTGATTAACAACTATCACAAATATTAAATAAATAATATATCAATTACTTAAAATATTCTTTGAATATATACTAATAAACGAATTAAAATTCTATACAATGTTTTTTCTTAAAAAAGGTAACTTTTTAAGCATATTTAAAAATAATTTGATTTTTAAACGTGTTTAAATATGTTTCATGTTATTATTTATAATTATATTAATATAACTTGTATTTTGTTATTACTGTTTATTATTATCAAAGTGAATATAATTCTGTCTCGAAGTCAAACAGAAAATATAAGCAATTGGAAATATGGCGCGAACGATACTCTATCGGTAATGTAGCTAAATATTATCATTAACATGTCAACTGTTTAAAAACATTTGCGTATATTATAAAACTTTTACTTTAAAATATGTATTGCAATAGGATGAAAAAATAGCTTATATATGTAAAAATATCTTTGTTTTATAAGATTACTTGCTTGGTTATGAACATATCAAAAGAAATATTTCCTTTTAATACCTAAAATGTGCCTGCAAAGCTTCCTTGGATTCTAATTTTGAGTCACACAAAACGCAATTGTGTTGGCCTTTAGCACTCATTTAGGCGCGAATTCTTATTTCAAAAAAACATTAGAAATTTACCGGACGTCTTTGCGCCAGGTAGTATAACATACAAGTTCTTCACTTTTTATAATTCGATGGTAATAGCTATACTCAACCAATCACGATCCGTAACAATATAATATTTCTTCTTTTAGAACATTATAGTTTTTCAACATATATGTCTTTTATTTGTGGTTGAATGTAAAAAATTTCATAGAACTCACGTCCGCGTAGAAAAATCAATTTTCGGCCATTTTATTGGATTGAAAGTCGCGCCACCTATCATATGCCACTCTAAAAAATACAAAACAATCAACTTCTTTAATCGAGCGTAAGTATAATAATCATAAATTTAGTACTTATAAGCAAATATAAATATAATTATAAATATCAATGATTAACGCAATAAAATTTGTTATAAATACATAACGTTACACAATTCAGTTATATATAAACATGTATTTTTCTTATTTTGAAATACACATAAACCTTAAATTACATTTATATATTTATCTCTTACAGAGACTGAACCATATATCTATATAATTTCTTTTCTGTAATACACCACAAGAAAATTAATATTCATACATAAATGTATATTATTTTTCCAACCATTAAAGGGCAATAAACTAAATACATGAAAGTAACATAATTGGTACATAATCGAAATTCTATTTTTCAAATATAATCTATTAAATCTTTCTATATAATATTAAAGAAATGAATTTATAGATGTACATTTACATCAATTCAATCTGTAATAACATTTAAAGTAATAATTAATTAATATAAAAAATATATTTTTTCTATTATATTCATTTTAGTATATTCAAAAATTGCATTTTTGAAGAGATATTGTTGTATGTCAATAGAAATTTAATGGATAATTTTTTTTTATAAAATCATATTTTTCAACTATGACCATAAATGATTATGTAAAAATAATTATTAACATGAAATAATGTTATATAAATAATTTTAGATATTGAATATAACAAATATTAACTAATAAAGGTCTGTTAAAACCTGAACTTACGAATATTTGATATTCGGATTATAATTCCAAAAATATCTGATCAGTATATAATCATCGAAATTTTGTAGATTTTGAGTATTTAGCGGGTATCAAGATTTCAAAATTCATTTCTTTTAAATATAACCGCAAACCCGAAAATACTTATATTATAAACCTGTGTCTTTATTAGCATTGAATAACATATAATTCGAAAATCTTAATTTTCCGATACATAAAACAAAATACATTCCAAAATAATTTGGATTTCTTGAAATTTTGAAAATAAGATTTTACATAGCAAGATACTTTTGGAATACCGAGCTATCTCTACGATTCTTAACTCATTATTCTTTGAGTTAAGACTGATTAGGTCTATTTTTAGTAATTGACATTTTTATAAACTTTAGTATAGTTTTAAACTTATAGTATATATTATACGCGCAATGTAGACAAATTATTAAAGTATAAAATTACACTTATAATATGTAAATATAAATATTTAAAACCACCGTAACTACATAATAATAGATTAAAAATATATTTTGCTTACAAAAGCTGACCTATGATACAGTATACATAACATTAACATAATTTTCTTTACTTGTTTTTTATATGTTAAATTATTAAAAATTGGATATAATGTATTAAGAAAAAAGAAAAATAAATCGAAATAGATAAAGAAAATTAAAAATATAACTATATACTTTATATAAAGTATATAAAATGAATTAACTGTTCAATACCATTTTTATAATGTTATAATTGCTTAATTATTTGGAATCTCTTGCTATTGTATGTACATGTATTTTAATAATGTTTTACTAATTAAGAATATACTTTATACAATATAACATTATTTATGCAACCCTGTATTAACTATGGTAACCAAGAAAAAATTGGAGAAAACTCTTTAGAATTCTTAATTCAATTATTATATCAATCAAATATCTTAATATCAATATATATTTCTTTACTGTATATTATTAAATTCTTTGATTGTATATTATTGTATTGTTTTATTCAATTTATATGATTCTGCTATATGATAATTGTCTGATTAATACTGCTATAGTGAAAATGTTAATATTCAAAAATTTTTAATATTTAATCTAAATATACATTCCTGCATATATAATGTAATATTTTAAAGAAAATGTGTAGAGCACTTTAAAATATTTAGATAACTTTAGATTAATATTTTTTTTTTCTTTTTCTTTTTCTTCTTTTTTTGTTACATATGATAATATATAATTATAAAAGCAACATAAGTGCCTACATACACTGTTCTCTCAATTTACGCGAGTCTCCTTTTGCGCTTGTAAATTAAAACACAACTTACGGTATAATTTTTATACCCGATTTTAATTCAAGCAACCAGATCATGTTATCTCGTCAAGCTTTGAATAAACAATCGGCCGGAGGACATCGGCATCGGAGGAATCGGTTGGGACCAGCGGCAGAGATGAAAGAAAAACGATCGAGCGAATGACTAACTTCACCCTATTACTGACGGACTTTATTTACACGATTTTCTCTCGCATAAAACGAATCCACGTGGAACAGATATTTCGCGTAAATTGAGAGATGAGTGTATTTTGTATTTCACATATCTTTATTTCATATATTTGTGATTTTATTAATTTATTTCATTAACTGTTTTTATTTATCCGTCTTCTTGATTTTGTTTCCTAACCTATTTATAATGCTAAAATAAACAGCAATAATATATTCCACTTATTGACAAATATATCATACATAGAATTTTTACTCACTAAATTACACAACTGTGTGTGTATCTTACATCTTATATATAAAAAAATAAAATTATCTTTGAACAACTCACCAAGTTTATACTTTCAACACTATTACCTTTGTATCACTTGATTACCTTAAAAATGATTAAGAAAATTAGAGTAAAATATATACAGTTGGGCAATACTAATTAAACACAATGCAGAATCCACAGTATTGTATCAAATCATGTGGTTACTGAATGTTCAACACTAACTGCAAGATGTCATTGATATATAAAGTATTAAGTAAAAATTACTTCATTGTAATTCTTGATACAGTGTAGGTGATGAATGCCCATCTGTTACACCTTGAGCTGCTAATTCAGCTAATGTTCTTTCAAGGTAACTTGTGTCAGGATAACCATGACCAGTTGTTGATGGTCCCAACTCAGTCTTGTGATGAATTTCATTCCATGTTACTACATCTTCTCTCCCAGTTGTTACCGACCGTCCAATTGTAAATATTAGTCTTCGTTCAAATGCAATTTGTAGTAGTCTTAAAACTCTACGGCCTAAATTATTATCTGGAAGATAACATATTCGTGGAAAACCTACAGCATAATAAGCTTGACCAGGATTGGGATGTTCATTTCCTTGAATTCCTGATGGAATACTGAAATAAATCATTTCAATTAATAAAGTAAGTATTATATTTTTTTTATAACATAAATATCAATATAAAATGAAAGTTATAAGTGTTAATAAGATTTAATATATAATACAATAAGATTTTTAGATGTTTATATCTCTAATTTCAATTACTAATCAAATTGGTTTCAAATGTTTTCTTATATGTGTATTGTTTTTATTAGATAATGTATATAATGTATATTGTCTATAAATAACAGTTCTAAAATAATAGTTCTAACTTTAAATATAAGTATAATGTATAAGAGAATCATATTAATTAAGTATGATTTATAATTAATTTTTGAATCAATGCATGAATCTGTAATAAAAGAAAAATATTGTCAATGCTACATAAAAGGGTAAATTAATAAATAATATTTAATTAATTTATAATTTTAAATTAATAATTAATCATTATTACGAAAATAAATTTCAATGCAGTTTATACATGATTATTATATGATACTAATATTTTACCTCATGGCATTAACATGTAGTTTTTAGTTATTAAAATTTTTAGCCTATTATTGCTTGACTACTGATTTTATAAAATTACAGAATTTTGCTATTATTGTATGTATGTATGTTTTTAATGTTTATAAGCTCTTGTTATAACTTGTTCTTTGTTTAGCATTAATTTTGGTATTCAAAAAAGATACAGTATATTTTTTTAAATATATTCTATTTACTATTTTGTGAAAATATGACAAATTTTATATCCTGTTTTGTATCCTTAATTGTCATAATCCTAATAAAGTCTTAATTTACAATATATTTCATTTAAAAAGTTTAAAAAATAGAATAATGACAGAATGTTATTCCTAATTAATAAGAACAATTCTTGTCATATTAACATGACTATCAAGTATACAACTTGATGTATACGTGAATATGTATTTATATATAATAGTATGTTTATTTATTTATTAATAACTTAACACATAAGAAGAATGGCAAATAAATTATAGAATTTTTCATTTATATAGCTATGAATAAACATGTTTGAATATTTTTTTAAATATAGACTATTATTAAAAATAATTTGCTATGATAATATTATAAAATAATTTAATAAAAGTAAAAAAATAGAAAGGTTTCCAATCCACTTACTCATAAGTTATCTGAATCGTATTTGTATTTGGGAAACCAGGCAGTGCTCGAGGTATTCTTGTCCAATTCATAGTTCCAAGAGGTTGATTTCCTCTTTTCTCTCCATAAATTAAACGACAAACAGGACACTGTATGTACATAGGAGGTTGTTGACAACTGAGCATTGCATTCAAACATGCTAAATGTAATCTATGCTTACAGCGAGTCAACTCTACTGTTAATGGTTCTGGCATACCAAGACACACAGGACAAGAATCACAATTATCACTTTCTACTACTTTTACATATTGAGAAATAACATCAGACTCAGTGTCTACACCTAAACAAAGTAAGATTTAAGATATAATATGTTATACAAAATTGCAAAAAATAATTTAAAGAAGTAATAATGAAGTTGTAAAATAAAGAAGTGAAAAAGAATAAATAATAAATTACCCAAGATAGAATCTTTAAAAGCATCATCACTTCCTACACTACTGTCTAATAAATCTATTGGATTTTCATGGCTTAAATATGTAGAAACTGTATCAACACTTGGTCTTCGCCCACTCTTTGTACTACTAGAATCTACATCCAATGCACTATCCCAAGTTTTCCTTTTTTGTCCAGATTCAATAGTTGTAATTGAATTATTATTTTCTACTCCATGTTTATTACTAAATATATTAAAATTACTCAAAATAACACGTGCTATATTTGATGGACCAGTATCTCCACTTTTACCCTAATAACACAAAATTTACATTGTAAAAGTATATTCAAATTAATAATAACACTTATTTTTACCTTCTTATTATTCTTTTTTGTATTTCCTGTAGATGACTTTTTATGTGTAATTTTTGTAGTTAAATTTTTAACAGCTGTAGATGTCACCTTCTTTTCAGAAATAACCTGTAATTCTTCTAAAGCAACTTTGACTAAAGGATAAGGTGCTTGTTGAATTCGTCGTATTGGCCTTACGTACCCAGTACAACAGCGTACTTGAGTTAAATTACAAAAATTTATAATATAAGGAAAACCTAAATATGTCTTAGAAACGTCAATGGTTTTATCACCCTAAAATGAAAAATTATCATAAATCTTATAATTATAATTAACTTATAATTAATACTTTTAATAAATTGATAATTTTAATTACTCTCGCCCATGCTTCTTCTATAAAGCATTGAACTTCCATATCATATGTATGCCAATCATCTGTATCACCAGCCCATTCCCATTTAGCTCCTTTTCCAGCTGGTGAACTTGGAAGATAAAATTTTCTTCTAACGTTATGAGTTTCATCACTATCTTCACTACATTGTGTTTTAGTTTTTAAATTTATATAATACCTATATAAAATAATAAAAATATATATTTTCTATAATATAAGTAAAAATAATATTCCCTTTAAAGTAATCTTAAAAAAATTTTGAAGTAATTTGTATCATTAATAATGAGAGTTTAAATATAATCATATGCAAAAGTTTCTTAATATTTGAAATTTTGTTTTAAAAGATATTAATTAAATTAAGACTAAAAATTTGTATTTTTTCAATTGGATTTTATTAAAACTTAGGTACAACATGTTATTAATATTAGTAAATTTAATATTAAATTATTTATGTTAGTTTCCTTAAATAATATAATGAAATGCAAAATTAAATGGAATTATGATTCCGTTTATGTTTTATATAGTTTTTAAAATATTTTTCTATTTTATTATAATTTTCTATTTATTTATATTTATAAAACAAAAATTGTCAAGCCTACATGTACTATAATTTTCGTTTACTTAAAATGATATATGTAAATTCAAACCTATCCAAATTTGGATCTGCATCATTTAGAAAAACTCGAGTAAGTTTTTTGCAATGCGCTCTTTCAAGATGTTGCGATACCGCAGGACTATAAGGTCTCCATCGTCCGTGACGATTTTCCCATTCCCACACAACAACAGCATGACCGTGTTCTTGCGCCTGGGCGTTCATCTTCTTACTTAAGAATTTCACACAAACGTGCAACACACACTTGCGCAGTGAAAACGTGGGAACATTTTCAAGTCTTCCACGTTCACTCTAATTCACCTCACTATACAATATACACACGTTCACACATATACACAAATAAACATATATATATTACTCCATTTATATATATATAGATATATATATATACATGTTCGCGAAACAAACATTAATATTAGATATATTTGTTTTGTTTAATCTAAATTATAAAATTGAAATATTACATAATAATGAACTTTAAGAATTAATTGAGGAAAGAAACATGTTAAAATCAACGTTATTCCACATCGTTTTGTTTGCAATGAAACGTAACGCGAACAAATTGACCTGAAGTCGACATAATTTCAAACATCGAGTAATCGACATATCGATAATCGACTTCGAATAAACATTTAAAAATAACTATTATTTAAATTCATATAAACATTATAAGAATGAATTAATGATATTTTGAAGGGTATTTTATTGTTTTTAGTATTGTCTTGTAAAATTAAATTTTTCATAAAAGTTGAAAAAAAAGGCAGTAGTTTTATTATTTAATACAAATTTTGGAACATACTAATATAACTATTTGATATTTATTTGTTTTATTTATTGTTTCATTTGTTATCAATAACATTTTATTAGCCAATAATATTATTTCTATAAACACAATTTACATAACCTGCATAAAAATCTATACCTATATTTATGATGCCAAGCAAGTGTTCGATTCGGGTACCGTGTATACAATTTTATCGTTTATAATTTATAAAATAAAGATTTTTTTGTGAAAAAGGAGATTGATCTTAAATTAATATATTTGAGAGTAATAATTGAACTTGAAAACAGTAAATGAATAATATTTCTTTGTGCTATTATTGTATAGAGATTGTCCAAAGCGTGATTAAATTACTTACATAAATTTAATTTACTAGTTACTAATTTTAAATGAACTCTGAAGACACCAAAAAATTAATTGTTTGTGTTACAAATAATTATTTGATAAAATCATACAAATTTATTGATGGATATATTTGTTCTATAAATTAACATAGGTTAGCTTCTGCAGTTTTTCAAAAATATTTCAGATTTTGAAGAATATTTCATAAAAATGGATGTAGAAAAAGTTGCTGTATTTGCTAGTGTAGGATTTGCAATAGCTATTGCAGCATTTATTTTATGGGGTCCAGCTCCTAAACCTAGGAAAAAAGGTATGATAGAAAATATATTTAATTATTAAACATTTACTAGAAGAAAAATGTTTTATTGTGTTTCATATTTCTTTTAGGGAAAATCATTGGAATCAATAATTTAGGATATACTTGCTTTTTGAATTCACTTTTACAAGCTTTAGCTGCATGTCCAATTTTTATTGGATGGTTAAAAAAACATCATAACAATAATGGAAAAGTTAATTTCATTTCAACTTTACTGTCTCTTTTTGAAAGTATGTTGGCATTTTTAGTGAAACATCATTTATTTTATTAATTTATTATTATAAAAAAGTTAAGTGTACATATAATAAATGATATTTTGAAGGGTATTTTATTGTTTTTAGTATTGTCTTGTAAAATTAAATTTTTCATAAAAGTTGAAAAAAAAGGCAGTAGTTTTATTATTTAATACAAATTTTGGAACATACTAATATAACTATTTGATATTTATTTGTTTTATTTATTGTTTCATTTGTTATCAATAACATTTTATTAGCCAATAATATTATTTCTATAAACACAATTTACATAACCTGCATAAAAATCTATACCTATATTTATGATGCCAAGCAAGTGTTCGATTCGGGTACCGTGTATACAATTTTATCGTTTATAATTTATAAAATAAAGATTTTTTTGTGAAAAAGGAGATTGATCTTAAATTAATATATTTGAGAGTAATAATTGAACTTGAAAACAGTAAATGAATAATATTTCTTTGTGCTATTATTGTATAGAGATTGTCCAAAGCGTGATTAAATTACTTACATAAATTTAATTTACTAGTTACTAATTTTAAATGAACTCTGAAGACACCAAAAAATTAATTGTTTGTGTTACAAATAATTATTTGATAAAATCATACAAATTTATTGATGGATATATTTGTTCTATAAATTAACATAGGTTAGCTTCTGCAGTTTTTCAAAAATATTTCAGATTTTGAAGAATATTTCATAAAAATGGATGTAGAAAAAGTTGCTGTATTTGCTAGTGTAGGATTTGCAATAGCTATTGCAGCATTTATTTTATGGGGTCCAGCTCCTAAACCTAGGAAAAAAGGTATGATAGAAAATATATTTAATTATTAAACATTTACTAGAAGAAAAATGTTTTATTGTGTTTCATATTTCTTTTAGGGAAAATCATTGGAATCAATAATTTAGGATATACTTGCTTTTTGAATTCACTTTTACAAGCTTTAGCTGCATGTCCAATTTTTATTGGATGGTTAAAAAAACATCATAACAATAATGGAAAAGTTAATTTCATTTCAACTTTACTGTCTCTTTTTGAAAGTATGTTGGCATTTTTAGTGAAACATCATTTATTTTATTAATTTATTATTATAAAAAAGTTAAGTGTACATATAATAACCATTATGTTATTAAAGAATAAGTTGTAATATAAAAAATTTATTTTTTGATTAAACACAAGTTTATTAATCTCAGTAATATATGATTATAAATGATAGATATAAGTATATATTACATTGACAAGATAACACAATTAAAATGTATAAACAAGATGTAATGTTATCAAATGTTCTCTATTAGAAATCAATGGATATGCAGAAGACGTATATGGCGATGTAACGCCAGTTGAAATTATTTCATTACTTGGTAATCAATGGAAATTTGCATCTGATCATCAAGATGTACATGAATTATTTCATGTAGTTCTTAGTGCATTACAAACAGAAATTCAACCTGGAAATAGGGTATGTTTAGTAGGGCAAGTTGAACATTATTAATCCCTCAGATATAGTAAAGTTGTGTTTCTTTCTTTGCACAATCAATATATATATAAAATGTATTTCTGTAATATTCTCATGTGACTCTAAGTTATACTATTTTAAAATTTTTCTTCATTTACTATATTTATTATAAATAAAGTGGACAATCAAATAATTATTTAATATATTATTTTTTTAAACTAATAAACATGAAAATATCTTAAACAGAAGACAAGAAGAAGAAAAGCATTTTGAGTTCAATGATTACGTGATAAGCATTATAGAATGATCAATACTCATAGATCAGAACATTCTACCTGAGGGGTTAAATCTAAATTATAAAAAATTCTTAAAAACATATTATTATTCAGTATTTACAATATATAGAATATTTTAAAAACATTTTCAAGTTTTTATGTATTTCTAAATTCTTAAAGTGGATAGTATAATTGATAAGTTATATATATTTATAACAATTATTTCAGAAAGGTTGTTTGTCTGATGCTTTACCACAAAGTCCAATAATGAAAACAGATACAAAAAGATTTGGTGATCCTTTAACATTTAGAAGTGTATCTTGTTATGATATTGTATCAGCTAACAAAAGTCCTAACATTCCAAATGGTTTTGATAGAAATTGCAACAGTCATGTTATGTCTTCAGCAGTGTCCATACCAAGTATTCCTATGGTATATAATAAGCCAGGTATAATCCTTGCTAGGTCTTCAGAATTGCTTTCAAAAAGTGTTGGAATTGAGGAAAGTAAAGAATCTTTAAAACAGTGGAGCTCTTTATGTGCTATGCCAGTTCCTAATGCTCCACCAATAGTAGTAGAAGTACACCCATTTTCAGGATTATTGACTAGTCAATTACAGTGCAGTTGCTGCACATGGAAGGTCAGTTTTTTTATCTTTTTATTATACTTTTACTTTCTTTTGATATATTATATTTAACTTGTAAGAAAAAAATAAAAATATTTTCTGTAGTCTGCAGTTCATTATGACAAACTTGAAACAGTTTCTTTGTCCTTGCCTCCTTTGAGTCCATATATTAAATCACATCACACATTGGAAGAATTATTAACACGTTTTGTAACCAGTGAGATTATTCAAGATGTACAATGTGATGGATGCGAAATGCGTTGTTTAGCTACAAAAACCTTAACTCTAGGCAAACTTCCTAAATGTTTATGTTTACATATATCAAGAACTATGTGGAGCTGTTCAGGAATACCAATTAAGAGAAATGATCCAATAAAGTTTCCTGAAATATTGACTCTAGATCCTTACACTTTTACGGAAACAAGAAAGAGAAATGCACAGGTATGATATATATATATTATATAATAAATATGTATTTTTGCTTACTACATATTTAATATGAAATATAAATTAATAGGGTGACCCTGAAGCAACAATGTTACTTATTAATCGAACTACACTACAAGATAAACACAAGTATCAACTACGTGCAATTATAGAACATCGTGGACCTGTTGATTCTGGACATTTTGTTTGTTATAGACGCGGAAATAAGATCAATCAATGGTTATATACTTCAGATAATGTAGTTGAGAGCATATCCTTGATTGAAGTTTTATGTGCCACACCATATCTTTTGTTTTATGAGCGTATTAACAGTATATAAAAATAGTTAGTAATCAATTTTAGTAATTGCAGCAAATTTAGGAATGATGACTCAAAATGTAATAATGCCATGATTATGATGGAATTTAAGAGACTGAATGTGTCTAATAGTAGCTTCTATATTCCTATTACAAAGCAGTTGAAATTAATTCATTTGTTAAATGAATGGAAAATATTTAAATTTATGTAAATTGTGTACTAGAATTCATGTTTTTTAGAATGTTAATGTATATCATTTTTATGTAAATGATATATAAAAAAACAAGAGGAAATTAAGTACTTGTTTATGAACAAGTTTAATACTATAATTTTCAAATGTAATTAAATACAATAAAATTTTTAATTAGATATTTTAAAATACCATATCTATTTAATAAATTATATACAACAAAGTAGTTGACATTTAAGGCTAACAACATTATAGAATACCATATACACAAGGTATTTTGCTTCACTTTACAGTTTGAATTTATCACTATCAGAATTAAAATACAAGAATGTTTCTTGCAAAGGTTTCATAGTATTGTAGGAATCATTGTATGGTATAATAATACTTTTGTTATATTGGAAATAGTTAATAAGATAAAAAGAATTTCTTTTTCATGGAATGTTATTTTTATCTGTGTAACACAATAGCTACTTTGAAAGTAAATTTAATAATTTGTAATATGAAATTTTCCAAGACAAGAATTTTCTTGACAATTTTCCAAAAAAATGCTGTATTTATTTTGGTGTGTCACAAAATTAATGTAATTTTGTTTACATAAGATTATTGAGATTATACTATTTAAAAATAGTAACAAAAATGCTAAAAATAATGTTTTGTGCCCTTTGGATTGAAAGTCATATCAATTGATTAGTAAAATCATTATGTTTAACATTTTTCAATTACAGTGTAATACAGTGAAGATGTAATGTAAAAATCACTTACAACATAGCAAAAAGAATATATTATTTATTGCAATAAATACGTGATAATAATTTTCGGAAATAATACGTATTACTTATTTAAGAACTCAGTATTATTTAAAATATTTTTATATTAATAATGATTATTTTGAATACTCGCGATAGACTTTAAACATAATTAGAAATATACGTGACAATTATAAAATGTTGATAAACAAATAAACGTTTATGGAATTGAATATTAAACAGAATATTACTTCATAAGAATGAGAGAAAATATTTTATTTGTATAACTTTTAGTAAACTTTGTATTACAGGCTATTTGATTTGTCTTCAAAGTGTTTATCCTATACTTAAATAAAATATAACATTCCATTTAAAAAAACAAAGTTGATTACTTTATTTCATTAATTCTTTCTACTAGAATAAAAAATACAGTATGTTGATCCTTATAATACATGGAAACTTTTGTTGGAAACATTTTTATATTTTTTATTATAACGAAAATATTTCAAATAAGAAAGGTAGGTGAAACACCTTGTATATAAAATATTATAATATAGTTTATAGTATATAGTTTAATTTTGCATTAATTGCTTGCAAAATTGCATAAATTGTAATAGTAAAACTAAAATTAAATTGTGCCAAATCAATCAATCGTTTTTACATATAAAGTATACTATTATTAGCCTTAGAGTTTGAAAGTTTAATTCTAATAATGTACTTCGAATGAAATGTACTATTAAGCAGTTGAAAAAATAATAAATTCAGAGTTTTAATCATTTTATTAGATGGTGTACAGTGATAATTTTACATACCCTTTGTATTGTTTCTAAATTTATCTATAATTATTATCTTATATGTAATATTGTAAATCATTTTATTTGTACTTTCTTCTTCTTTTAAATAAAAGTACAATTATGTTTTTATAAAACTATAATATATTTATAATTATATCATAGTAAGATTAACTTTATTTTTAATTCTAATAATTTTTATACAAAATTTTAAACTACTATGAAAATAAATCAGTGAAATTTATGTAAATTAAACCAAATTTTTAAAATAATAGAAAAATTAATTTTTCTAAAACAATTGGCAATATAATCTCTTTTCTTATTTAGTATATATCTTATGTGAGGTTTAGACTTCAAAGCAAATATTTGCTTCTCTGTGTCATTGAAATAAGTACTTTTCACAGAAAAATTATTGTGAATTCATTGTTTAGGTATTCTTTGTGGATAAGAAATCAATAGGATGTTTTGCTTTTTTAAGTCTTTTTGAAATTTCTACAGTATATATAGTTCCTGTTAACTAGTCAGAGTGACTTTCTGTCTTGTACTAATATCGTATTATGTGTACTATAATTTCTTCTGTGATAATTAGGATTTGTAGATCACTCCTTATTTGATCGTTTCCACCATTCTTAGGATAATGTACTGCAGTACCTTATATTGATTTTTTCTGTTTCATCCATAATTTCAATAAGATGTGATGCTGTAGGTTACTTACTACTTACTTTAATAGGATATATAGTTGCACCTATAATTGCTGTGTTATTTACAAATATATATAGTTTAGTTTTACATATGATAGGTATGTCAGCATTAAATAAAGTTTTCAGTATTGATCTGAAGATACTTTCCTAAGGAACTGCTACTTTTATAAATCTGATGTTAGAACGAGTGCTTTTAATTGTTACATAAAAAAAACCTATTTGTTAATTACCTTTGAAGAATTTCATTTGTATGTATGTATTTGGAAAACTTGCTTTTGATAATTTCTAGTAGTCCTTTGTGTCACATATTGTCAAATACCTTTTCTATATCAAGCAATAGTGTTGTACAATATTGTTTTATGTCTATCGCTTGTACTAAGTTATTTACTATTCTGTGTTTGGTAAACCATTGAATGTTTATACCTAAATATATGTTCAGGAATAAATTGTTTATCTGGTATAGTTTCTTTCATTTTGTTAAGTAATATTATTTCAAATATTTTTGATAGTAAGGATAATAATGGAATAGATCTGTATGATGTTATTTTGTGTGGATCCTTACCGGGTTTCGGTATCATGGCAATTTTTGTAATTTTCCATGTTTGGGAAGTAATTTAGCCTTAACAAAGTACTGTATATTATTATTAAAAATCGAATTGCCTTCACTGGGAATTCTTTTAATATTCGATCGTTTAATAAATCGAAGCCAAATGATTTGCTGGTTTTGATTTTTTTAACAATTTTCAGTATTTTTTTTGGTGTGATGCATGGTGATGGTCGTGGAATCGATGTATTAACATTTGATGTATCGACTGTTGTGGCCTACAACTTGTCGGTTCTACTGGTTGAATATCACGTGGAATAAAGGTATCAACTAAGTATTGGGTTGTCCGAATAATTCGTGCCGATTTTGAAGGAAAATTGAAACGCAAGAGATTTAAATTTTAGTATACACTTATTAAATTATATAGGTGCCATTCTGTTCTACAACCTTTCTCCATCTTTCAGGCAATTTGATAATTCCGTCCTTCCAGAATCTCTCAGGTTTCTCAGCGAAAAACTTTTCTATGTGATTTTTTATCTTGACCAAAGAGTAAAAGTTTTTTCCATTAAAGGAATTTTGTAATGATTGAAATAAGTGGAAATCAGAGGGCGCGAGATCTGATGAATATGGTGGATGGGGTAGAACATCCCAATCGAGCTCCAACAATTTCTGTCGAGTTATTAAAGATATATGAGGCCGCGCATTGTCCTGATAAAAGACAACGCCTTTCCGATTCACTATTTCTGGACGTTTTTGTTCAATTGCTGTCTTTAATTCGTCTAATTAGGAACAATACTTCGCTGAATTTATCGTCTCGTTGTTTGGTAAAAGCTCATAATACAGGATTCCTTTCTAATCCCATCAGACACACTTTGGATGACCTTTGGATGAAGACCGACTTTTGGGATGGCTAAAGGTGATTCATTCTGCTTTCTCTAAGATCTTTTTTGCTTAACATTATTATAAATGATTCATTTTTCATCCCTCGTACTTTGCTTCAAAAATGGTCACCTCATTACGTTTATACATGGAAATGCGATCCATCAGATTTTTCTCAGTTAAATCATAGGGAACCGGTACATCAAAACGGTTTATACAGCTAACAATAAGCTTCGCAAAATGCTCGTAGATGGTGGATTTTTACATATTTCACATTTCTGATAATTTACATGCAGTATAGCGTTGATCATTCTAAATCAGTTTTAATCTACTTGCGGTTGACAACTTTAAAATCTAGCAAACCACTTCCGCATAGTTCTTTCAGCTACAGCACCGTTGCTATAAACAGCGCATATCTTGTTTACCGCCTGTATGGCATTTTTGCCATTCCGGTAAAAGAAAAGCATTAAATGTCTAAAATGCTATTGGTTTTCTTCCATATTCAAAGACGTATAAAACTGACAAAAATTAACGTATCGTATTCAAATTTTTTTTTAAATACCTGAAGTACCGTCTTTTACAATATATACACATGTCATTTGTTTTCAATCGTTCTGATATGTTCAAACCTGTTCTTACGCCACCTATCAAAAATCGGTATAAACTTTTTGGAATACTGAATATTTCGTAAATTGTTCGGTCTTATTTTGGTCACTTCTCAACCAGGTCTCGTTCGAGGTTTTTAAAAATACATTTTGAATGTAAAAATTTACAGTTAATAGGAATAATGCATTGTATATTTGTTTATTTTATTATATTCGTTTATTAATCATTTTTGTCTCTTTATTTTAGTGTAAAATAATATTAAGAATAACTTGCAATAATTATTTATAAAAATACTGATATACTTTTTTACAATAATAAAACTAATATCAATAAAACAATTTAAAAGTTTTTTATGAAAGTTCTCTTGTAATTAATAATGAGAAAGCGCCCTCGATAAATTACTAACACTCGACCAAACTCAAGTTGCATTGGATATAGGTTTGGAATGATTGAAGAGTGAATGATGTATATGTGGATACATTTTGAACTAACAAACAAAATGTTAATATTTTAAAATAATATTCATATAAACTTTGTTGTGGTGTTAATATATAATATAACTTATAACACCATATATATGTATGTGCGGAATAAATGTAAACGAGAATAAATTTATAGGTTATTATAACATTTATAAACTTTTGTAAATATTAGAATTTCAAAATTTATTACGTTATAATCTATCTTTACAACGTAAATATAAAGATGCCTCATTTCGTAAGCACTAAAGATAAGATTGTGAGTATATATAAATAATATTATTATAAGCTTTTATAGTTTTGTAATATTATGTTTTGATTTTTTGGCAGGTGCAAAACATGGATGATATTGCTTCTGATTTTGCTTGTCTCAAAGTATCTGCATTAAAGAAAGCTTCTCGCATATCAGGCAAGGTGGACAGAATTACAATTGGCCCTGATTCTACAATAAATGAAAGTGAAAGTGAAAATTCTGAAAATATAGAAAATGAACAAAATTCTTGTAATATTACAGTTCCACAAAAATCTATTCATTCTCAGAGTAAAATTTCTATGCAGAATGGAATTCCTTTTTCATTTAAAAAAATTCTCCTAGAAAGTGAATATCAAAGAAAAGAAGAAGTTCAGGTAATATAGATCAGTATTTATTTTATATAATTTATAATATAAATAATATACATGTGATGATAGTTAATTAATTCTGATATATTATTTTATTGTCTGTGATATTTAAAAAATAACATTTTATAATTGAATATAAATGTAGATAAGTAATATATTATTTTTGTTATAATTTATGCTAAAAGTATAATTAAAGAGTTTTAAAAGACAAATACAGTTTTGAAATAAGGTATTTTTAATAATGTAATCAGATTACTTTTATTACTAATATACATATTTTCTATTCGTATGGCATACTTTCATTAATAGTAGAATTGCAAATAAAGCTTTGGTTTGCAAAAGACTTTCAATACTATATATTGAATTTTATCTATATATACCACACATATAAGATAGTATATCCATTTATTTATGTTTTTATATATTACTGTGGCTAGTAACCAGATATCAATAACCAATATGCAGAGTTTAATGTACTGTTGAAAGTTTTTTACTAATATTTCAGAAACTAAGAATGATTATATAGAAAGAAAGCAAGTTATTTGTAATATTAATTGCTACATCATATTTAGAAATGAAAAAAGTCCATAAGCAGATACCCTTTAACGACTTTACTATTAACGAAAATATACTGCACAAGTAAGAAATGTACACATTAATAACTAAAATAATATAATAATATTATTAAAGATATCTTGTTTCAAAACTGTACTTGATATAGAATAATAGTAAATAATGCCATTAATTATATTTTTAACTAATAGTATTCATTAATTAGAGAAGCTTTTTAAGCGCAGCTTGAATAATATTTTTAGAAATGGTTTTTTGTCTTTTTCTTTTCTCTTTTAACAATTTAATTTACTTTTACACTTAATTATATCACAGAGTTACAAAGTTAATGCTTTATAATTATTCAAAATAAAATTTTAAATATGACAAAGCTTTTATAACTAGCAAAAATACTAAGTGTACCTATTTTATTAATATGTTTCATTATATTCTGTCTTTATAAAAATTAGAAACTTTAAGTGAATAGAGTTTAAGTTTAGTTTAAGTTGAGTTTAAGTATGCTAGCTATAACGAAAAAACAAGAAACAATTACTATTGCTAAAATGAGATAACAATACTTAAAAAGCACAATTTTATCACTATGTAGTATGAATCCAAATGCCTGATCAACTATATACAATATATTGTTAAAATCTTGATGTCTCATATAACAGCTACTGTTTGTAGAATATGTCATTTGGTTTTGTTACCTAAAAATATTTACAAACATTTCGTATGAAGCTCTTACCTATGTATCCCTCAAAGATTGTGACTATCACTTATTTTTTTGCTTTTTGATGCCTGTAGAAAGAAATTGAACGTCATTGGCAACATATGAAAGAAAATGGAAAAGCTATACAGGAACATATAGCAATATCACGTTCACATATGGCTAGGGAACGTGAACGCAAAAGTAAAGAGAATTATGCATACATACTAGCAGAAGAAAGAATAGCAGAACAAGAAGAAATACATAGGAGGCATGAACGACAGAAAGAAGTTGAAGAATATCGAAAAAAGATTAAAGAAACAGAAGAATTGACCAAGAAAATAATAATTTTGAGAAATGTATATGCTGTAAATTATCATGATATTATAGCACTTTCTGAAAATTGTAAAGATAAGAATTCCTTTGCTATATTATTATCCTCTTATGCTGAAAAATTCGAAGAGTTACACCAGCAAATGAAACTTATAGATGAAAAAATTAAGGTAAAAAGTAAAACGAGAGAATATTATAACATATATAATATTGCAAACATACGTACGCGCGCGTGTGTGTGAGACTTATATATATACATATATATATTGCACTTTATTTACAGACAGGTGAAATAACATCTGTTGATCTGAACATTGTAGTAAAAGTGGTTTATCAAAGTGAAGAAATGTTATGTGTGTTTAGATCAGAAGTAGGTAAGTTGTTTTCTTACTCTGTTCATATTTATACATTTTTATGTTTTATATTCTATTTCTTTTTTTTTTTTATATTTATATTTATATATTTACATAAAATATATATATATTTTAGATAGAATAAATGCTCAATGTGATGTAAATTTAAGTGAAACAAAAAATACAATACATTCTCATGCACAAGTAGAAGATTCACAGGGACAAGAGATTAAAAGTAGTGAAACAGTTTGTGAGACAATTATTCCAGAACAAGTAAGTATAAGTAATATGCAAAACAACGATGTACAAGAATGTAGAGATGAAGAAAAACAACAAAATTTACAAACAGAAAACATAACTACTTCAAATATATCACAAGTGACATTTCCGATTATTAATATAAAAGAAAATGTATCAACTACTGAATCGGAAAAAGGTAAAATAAGTTTGTTATAAGTACGATTTATGTTCTTAATAAATAAATCAGTGATAAATATATTTCTTCTTTCTTTACAGATCACTTAGATGGTTATGTTGATAAAGAATTGTTACAAATATATGTAAATAGTCAAAAATTTTTAGAAGATTATGTAAAAAGTTTTGATGAATTTTTACAATCTCCAACTGAAAAAAGCTTTAGATTTGAAATTCAGAAAGCAATAAATATACCGGTAAATACAATATCTGGCATTAATGAACAACATTTGAGAGATAAATATGAAAGGTTGCATAATCTTCTTAAGGGCACATGTTGGCCAAATGTTAAACAACATCCACAGGGGACAGCCTACTGTAAAAATATCTTAGCTAAAAAAATAGTTGTATGTAATTTCATATAAATTTTATATTGACATTAAGTGTATTAGATTATAAGATGTTTGATATATAATTTGTTTTAATAGAGTCAAGGTGAAACACTTATTTCAAGTAAACCAAAGATGGCATTTCCTATTGCTGCTGTAATTGTTGCCCTTTGGAACGATCATTCTGATTTTGGTGATTTACTTTTGTCACATTTTCATAATGTCTGTCCATTTACGGTTCCTGTCTTTATGCCAAAAATAGTAGGACAGTCGAATGAAGATTATTATAAACTAATGGGTTACAAATATGCTGAAGATGGCACAATTGAGAAACATGATAAATTTTTGAGAAGGATGTCTGGTTTAATGAGATTATATGCTTCTATCACAATTACAACTCAAAGGAAAGGAGTTAATAAAAGTAATCCTCATGGACTTCAAAATGCTTGGCGATGGTTGGCTGCTATTTTAAATATTGGTAATATGACAATCTAAAAAGATAGAAAAAAAAAAAATTGAATTTTTAATCATACTCTATAACATTATTTTAGAGCCGCGTAAAGAAGTATCAGATCTTTGTGCAACTCTTTTGTTGGATATGTTTGAAGTTGCTGGAAGTACATTATGGGTTGCTTATCCAAAACAGTTTCATAAATTGCTAATTTTATTGTCGGAAGAATATTATCCACGCATGCAAAATGTAGGTTGTATCGGTGGTGGTCCATTGGCACGACTTGAAGAATTTTTGAGAAATAGTTTAGCAAAAGGTTCTATAGCCCCTCCTGAGGGACAACTTCCTCCAGATTTTTGGTGATCACAGTAATGTTTAATTAGTTTTTGCACTTTGCATTACATAGCTTATAAAGTTTTGGTTGTTATTGATACATGTGAGACATTGTCAGATATTGCGAGAGCTTGCTTGTGAAAAAGTATTTTAAACAAATTTGTATATATGAAAACTCATTGTTTGAATATCATATTTATTAAATCTTTAATGTGTGAAGAATAAAAATGCAAAGAAGTGTAAAAACAATAAGTGATGTATGTATAATTACGCGTGCGCCTATAAATAATACGGTAAGAATAATGTAGTCTTCAGTAATACGGTACACTTGTAACTACTGATTTTACGCCACCTGGCTGCTTGTACAATTGCTCAAAATTTGTTGTAAATCCAGTAAGACCAAAAGGAGCAAATCTATCTACCCATTCTTTGTGCTGATTTATCTTTAATAAGTAAATTGTAATTTTCCTTCTGAGTGAAACTGAAAATATGGTAAAAAGTAAATTATAATTCATCGTATAAAAAATTAAAGCATGAATGAAATACAGCATTTTATATTTATCTTTTTTCTTCAACTTTACATACCTGAAAATGCCCTGTTTGTCATGATACGGTAAGGTGGTAAGGGTCCTAAACTTGTTAAAATATGAAGCGAATCAATTCCCGGTAATGTGTTTTTATGACATTTAATAACAGGAGATTCTAAAATTCCAATGTCTGCTTGTTTTCCTGCAACCATTTGCAGCGTAGCGATCTGTGTGTCAGCATCTGAAAATTAAATTTGATTTATTTTTTTATTATTATACATCGATAATAAGAAGTATAATTTTATTGTAATATACGAACCAAGAATGTTGCCGAAGAAGGCTGGGCTTTCACCTTTGGTATGTAAATAATTAAATAACAATGTTGCTGCTCCGATGTTTTTCTTTCGATCTGGAAGGGAACATCTATAACCACGAAGATCTGTAATGTCCTGTGAAAAAAATATCAGGTTAACGTGTTTATATTTTCAATTGTATCGTATATTTAAATTTCATTTTTACTTCTACATGTGATGCACGATCTGCAGCCACAACAACATCGGCATAAATACACGGTGAATTGCTTTTATTAAGATAGTGTTCAAAACAGAAACTTGCAGACAGAAGTTTACCATCTTCCCACTTTTCACTTGCTGGTAAAATAGCTGAAAAATATTAATTATTATTATTTATTTGTGAACTAGTTTACATAAGTATAATTTTCAATGACAATGAAAATAAGAAAAGAAAATGTCAAAAGTATATCGATAGTAGCACGTGATAGAAACTATAATTTAGATGAGATGGAAACAAATAAAATTTACTGGAATATAATAAATAAGATTATAATCTTGTATGTACAGATTCAGTCATATTTTTCCTTATTTATTTAAGGCTATTCGACATTTGGCGATGGCTATTATTATAGAGAAAACATTTAGTGTAAGTAAATTATCATCCGTATAAACAAATTCGTATGTATAACATTAAAAGATTTTCATCAATATCTCGAAACTTAAATATCCAAAATTGATATTTTACATTTAAGATTTCCTTACTTTTCTTTAACAAATTTTATTATATTAGTGACTTTACCCTAAATTTGTTTATTTTCTTCCCGGTTTTAAAAAAATGTTATATTTTTGCATAGAACAAAATTTGATAAAACTGTAGAATGCATGGACAGATTCCAATAATTTTGAAGTATGTTATAAAGAATGGGATTTTGAACAACTTTTATTAAAAATCGCTCGGCCTTAATTTTCGAGTTCTTTGCAAAAATTTTTCGTACTACTCATTAAACTCTGCCTGGATGTGTGCGATGACACAAAGTTTGGAAGGGAACAACTGCTTTAGTATATATAACGGGTGGGCAAAAATGATCACAATAGATTTTTTTTATACATTGTTACATAATCACGGAATTACTAAAAATCGTATTGATAATTTTTACTTTTGACATGAGAAATTTTACTTTTTTATATATATACTTTTAATATTTTAACTCACCACTGTATATATATACTATATAGGTGAAATTGAAACAAACTCGTAATTTTAACTCTTTTTAGAATAATAATATTTGATTATTTAATATAAACATATTTTTAATTCCAAATATTCTATACGAATCAATTGAATTTTAAATTCAATACATGATATTAATGAATTGTAAATGTCATGATTCAATAATCAAATAAAAATATAAATTTTTCAAAAAAATAACTGGCATTATTTTTTATTTTATAAAACATTTATTAATAAAAAACATGTTTGTCTCATTAATAACTCATTAATAACTCATTAATAACTTACTACTAATAGTAACAATGCAAGATAGAGAAAAATTTTTCCAATAAAAAACATTCAGCTTCTAGTGTTCTATTACTCTTTATTGCACAAAATATCTTAAGAAAAGCTCTATTTAAAAAGTAACAAAAATATTGAAATTTCAGACTTGATTTTATCCCTTAAAAAAGAATTGCCGTGTATGTTTTTCATTATGCTCTACATGCATACAAATTTTCATTATAATCAGATTTTTAGGTTAGGTGAATTTTTTTACGAAATAGTCTATGGATACTGCTGTGCGCCATTGTATAAAATAAAAAATTACCATTAACGTGTCAATTTAAAAATGTTTGCGTTTTGATTGTCATTTTATATTGCGACCTTTTAATTACTTATCAATAGTCAGCAAGCATTGCACACGTATCTATCTTTTCGTAATCATTTTTTCCCATTTTAGAAATGTTTATTATTTACATCGTTCAGATTCGGAGGGTACAAGTCAAATGTAAAAAGTGAATTTTGAATGACATATTGCAGCCAAGATTTTGGCACGTTTTTAATAATTTTTGAAAAATGGAAACATAATTTTCTGATTTATATTCGCCGAAGAATTTTTCCCTCGTTTTCATGAAAGAATCATAGATTATTTTTTTTATTTTAATTATTTAATTTTTCTATAAATGTATTATATTGCGGTAAGTATTTAATTTTGGGGCCAATGAAAATGTTTTCTTTTATTTTATTGAAAGAAACGAACGGAAATTTGGTTTTTGAGTACTTATATATTGGACTCGATTTATCCATTGTTTTCATCGAAGTTTTCATGATCGCTAATTTAATACGCAAAGACGCCAAATATATTTTTCGTGGTTGAATTAAATTATTATATTTCATATTGCTTTTTCCTGGATTTAATCTATGCCATGACTTCAATCTTTTATAACATAATATTAATTTCTGTTTGAAAGGCTAGCAATTATGCTACTTTTGGATCTGCACTTATGTTTCTAGTATTCGATTCTGCACGACACTTTCTTCAATGACTCGTACTTTTCTTTTACTTTCACTGAATGTGCAGTTAGAATGGAAGGATGTATGTACATTTCCGATATTTAATAACACTGTTTCTAAACAATACTGTAGGATACCAAAAGAAATCGCGAATCGGCTATTGCCAACAAAAACAAATTGTAAACCGATCGATATCTTCTAGAAGCAAATCGAAAAGTTATTCTATATAACAAAATTAAGTTGCTTGACTCCTCTACGGGGTGGTGAAGCGTAGGTTAAGGAAAGCATAAAAGCGTGGTGCTTGACAACCAAAACAGAGTCCTTTGAAATCGGTTGTGACCAGCACAAGCGTGAGTCGCTTAGTGTTGGAAAGAGAGTTTAAAAGAGTGCGTCTTTGTGTGTTTTCGTTATCTTGGTGTTC